TCATTCTTGACAATGTTTGAAGGTGGTATTTGATCCCCAGGCATTTTCTGTTCCGCATTATGAACAGTACTGTTGTGTTTAAGTGATTTTTTAGTTTTTGAAAGGGAACCAAATCTATTAATCTCTTCTTCCTTCTCTGCTAAATATTCTGACACTGTTTCTACCAAACACTGAAGCTCATCCATTGTATCAACATAGTCCCTCTTGGGTTCCTCAAGAGAGGAAGGGGTCATCTCTTCCATGGGGCACCCAGACAGATCTCCAGGTGTTTTTGCATCACAATTCACCTTTGGTAATGAGAATACTGGACATGTTACATGATATTCTTCAGGTAAGCCTCCAATATGATGGACATTGGATGGAGGACTTGTTGGTGACAGTAAACCTTCCTGTGTATCAGTAAGAGGAGAACTCAGAAGTTCATCAGAAGTACTGCTAGTAGAATCTTCAAGAATATCTAATGGAGTGAAATTAGTGACATGCTGGTTTAAGCCAGATGACTTTTCACAGTTCTTAAAACAACCAGAAAGATCATAATCATGATTTTGCAACTTAGTGGTCCACATGCCACTCTTAACCACAAAACCATTTTTGTAAGGGCGCAAAATTGGATAATTTTGTTTCTTCTTTTCAATGTGGCAAATGTTACAATTTTCAGTGTAAGGATATGTACTTTCCAAGTCAGTCTTAGTTCCTGATCTGTCACCATACTGTCTTGTTTCACTGTCTCCAAAATGATCGTATAACGGCTTGTTTTTCCTTCTATCTATTGTATCATATTTCGGAGGATATCTGGAGAACACAGATGTTTCAAACTTATGGTCAAAATTAAAGGCAGCAGAATATTCAGTTTCTTGACCCTGAGATGGTATCTTTTTCCAATTCTTGTACTTCAGTTGTTCTTGTTGGTTATAATATTTATCAGTTTTTGAAAGAGCTCTAATTTCTTTTACTTCTGCTTCCTTTATGTTACTGCTTTCTAGAAACTCTTGTGTTATTTTCCCCTCTCTCTCCTCATATATACTTTCTTGCTCTTCATAGTCAACATCAGAGAAAGCTGAAATAATCCTAATTTTGTCATTTTTGGCCTGCAAACCTTGTCTGATGTAAAGGAATAAAATCAGAGGAATAGTAAGGCAAAGAAAAGAGAAGAAACAGGGAAAAGGAAGAAACAAATTATAAAATTTAGTGCATGTTCAATGAGAAAACTAAAATAAAATTGTCAATATGATAAAAACCATTCAGACTGAAAAAATATGATAAAGAAATCTCTATGTTCTTAAATCAATATTAAAGCAATTTAATCAAAGAGTTTTTCCACATCGGAAAAAAAATAGCTATAGTAATAACGGTAGCTACTTGCTACCATGAGCTTTTTAGGATCCTTTTATTTTTCAAGAAAGATAGAAACAAGCAAAATGAACACGTTTCCTCAATATTTAGAATGTATTTGCAATGCCCAGGTTTAGAACTGTTAAGTATTCAACATATCAAGGGATTTCAAGAAACCCAAATTTGTTGATTAATTTGGGTCTGAAAAGTCAAGCTGTTAACTTGCTCAAAGTTATTATTTGAGGCAGTATAGCCAAGAGTATGGTCAAACATATTTCGTTTGGAAAAAAAAAGAAAAAATAGGGGTACCTGGGTGGCTTAGTTAAGTATCCGACTCTTGATTTTGGCTCAGGTCGTGATCTCAGAGTGGTGAGATCAAGCCCCAAGTCGGGCTCTGTGCTCAGCACAGAGTCTACTTAAGATTCTCTCCCTCTCTCTGCTCCTCCCCCTGCTCCTGCTCCCATGAGCACACTCATGCCCTCTCTCTAATAAATAAATCTTTAAAAAAGAAAAACATACATACATAATAAAAATAATCTTTGACTGTCAGAAGTCAAACCTTGTTATAGCCCGATGGAACAATTATTTAAAGCATTATAATTTGTGAAATCTAAAAGCTATATATGCAATGAGGATCACAGTGAAATGAGTATCTTTCCCTATACTGATTTTTTTTAAGATTTTATTTATTTATTTGACAGAGAGAGACACAGCGAGAGAGGGAACAAAAACAGGGGGAGTGGGAGAGGGAGAAGCAAGCTTTCTGCAGAGCAGGGAGCCCGATGTGGGGCTCGATCCCAGGACCTGGGATCATGACCTGAGCCGAAGGCAAACGCTTAACGACTGAGCCACCCAGGCACCCCTTCCTATACTGATTTTAACACTAGAAGCTACATTCCAACTTAAGTCAATGAATACATAAGATACCTGACCTTTCTTTCAGTTAAATTAGAAACTGCCTGCTTCCTGTGTACTCATGTAGGGGTACAGAGAGGACCTGCAGACTAGGAGCTTATCATCTCAGTATGTTCCTGTGTAGATTTAACTTCCAATTGCATTTATTTAGGAAACAGAAGCAAGATCACAGTGGTCATTTAGTCACTAAAAATCTTCAAGAGAGACTTGAAGAGATATTAATAATAAACTTCAAGAGATATTCTTTTGACCCCTCTCAACACTAGACACACTTTAGCAACAAACCTCAAATTATGTATTTTTACATAATTCATGTAAATTTCCAGTTATTCTGGATTCATTAGGCAAAAGCCCATTTGGTTGAGCGAAGAAATCCAATTCACTTTTTTTACATGGAGTTTCATTATTGTCCAGTATCCTCAAAAAACTCAAACTAACTCCAGCCTAGAAGTCTTTATACTTCAACTTAAATGAACAGAGAGCCATTGCTGTAGTGAATGAAGCTATTTATATTTACACTTCTAATTTACCGGCAGATACTAAGAACATGTTTGTTCCCTTAGGATTTTAAATGTTCTCCCTAAAAAACTGTGTAACTTCAAGACTTAGACCATCTCCAAGAACTTGATATCTACAGTAAGACAGAGGTTTAAAATTCAATGCTAGCGATAAAATGTCTTCAAAACTTTCTGAAGGATAAATCATTTCAAAATTTAAGTTAAAAATGTCTATGATAAAAGGTTACTTAAAAATCATGTAATTTTTGGGGTGCCTGCGTGGGTCTTTAGGTTAAGCATCTGCCTTCAGCTCAGGTAAAGATCCGACGATCTTGGGATCGAGCCCCGCTTCAGGCTCCTTGCTGAGTGGGGAGTCTGCTTCTCCCTCCCCATCTGCCCCTCCCCACCTCATGCTCTCTCTTGCTCACACACTCTCTTTCAAATAAATAAATAAATAATTGTAATTCTTTTCTCTGCTGGAGATGAAAAAAATATTCACTCTTTAACCTCATTTCATATACTGATACAGTAAAATCAAATTTATATGGGATCAATTAAAAAATCTTTAGCAAAAAATTTATAAAGTGTATCACTAATGTTCCTCTAAGTATTATTATAGCAGTAGCCCAGGAAATAACTAAAATAATAATAGGGTAATAACTGGGTAAAATGCAGTGTTCTAGAAGAGTATGTAGTCATTTAGGTTGATATGCCACTATTACTGTTAGCCTACACATCTAATGTTTACAAATACAGAGGGAAAAGAGGGCCAAAAGTATTGGGTTTTTTGCTTTTTTTCCTTAAAGTAGGACAATATAAACAACTAAAATCAAATAATTAAAAAATAAAATTTTCATCTAATAAACCAGCAAGGAGTAGAGACCAACTACAGTAGGATTCCTGGCATATTTCTTTTTTAGAATCAGATTATAAACCGTAAAAATTCTATGTGATGGTTGATATATAAAAAAATTCATTGAAAATATTTCCAGAGATGATAGTAAACTGAGATAGGATGTTGTCTAGCAGACAGGCAACCAAATGAGGATCAGGATAAATATTCACCAGTTTGGTAAAATGAGCAAAAAGAAATGATACGTTATTATGGTATGGTGAATTTTAGCAATCAAAAGTATGAGCTAAACTGGAATGGTTTTTGTTTTGTTTTTAAAGATTTTATTTATTTGAGACAGAGAGAATGAGAGAGAGAGAGAGAGCACAAGAGGGGGGAGGGTCAGAGGGAGAAGCAGACTCCCCGCTGAGCAGGGAGCCTGATGAGGGACTCGATCCAGGGACTCCAGGATCATGACCTGAGCCGAAGGCAGCTGCTTAACTAACTGAGCCACCCAGGCAGAATGGTTTTTAAAACATTAACTTCCAACCAATAATTGATTCAATAAGGATCATCAATGGATGCTAAAATCAATGGGTGAAATGTTGGGGAAACAGAATAATGACACAATCTAAGAGAGAATGAAATAAAAAGTGAATGTGCCAGAATGTTAACACAATTGATGAATCTAGGCAACATGAATATGGGTGTTAATGTAACATTTTTCCAAATTTTGTCTGAATTACTTTTTAAAGTGGGGGAAAAAGGGGGAGCATATATGTATACATTTGTTTTTATACTCATAAATTATATGATAGTAGTCTATGGAAAGGCACATAAGAAACAAACAAGGGTGGTGTGAGAACTAAGAGATAGGAAGGGGACAGAGGAGGGGAGGACAGGTGTGGGTGGGAGATTCTTCACTGTATGCTGTATTGTACCTTAACATTTTTTAACCATGTCAATGTTTTATATATTTAAAATTTTTCTAAAGTTCCAGCATAAGTACTGAATCTGCTATGAAGAGATCATCTGAAGTTCCCAAAAATATTTAGGTAGAAAGGATTATCCAAACATTTAACATCTGTGATTTTCTTTTTTTAATCGTGGTGAAGAGTATATCAGAATCACTGGGCTGGGCAGAGGCATGAGCTGGTTTTTTTCAGTCATCCACCCCAAGATAGCCTACTCTCACCAGTTGAGAATCACTGATCATAAAGAGAAATATTAATGACAGAAATGTCTAAATGTGAATGTACAGAAGAGAAAAAAGAAGACTGAGAATCTATACAAAATGGCTATATTTTGGTCTATCATACTGTTATACTTCCACTACCACCTCAGGTTAAAACATCCAAATACTGTCAGTTGCATCTTGGAAACTACATACCAGGAAGAGAAAGTGCTTGGTTTCCAAAACCCACCTGAGAGCCCGCCGCTCTGGATAATCAAGATCATAACTTTGCATAGAGTCATTGCAGGAATCCCGGGAATTGCCCTGAAGTAGCAGCTGCTGTGGCAATCCCACTGGCACAGTGAACTGGTGCACAGAAGCATTGGGCTGGGAAGTCGTATGGTAAGGAGGTGGGATGCTGTTGCTGGTCTCACTGCGATAGTCACTATCTCGGTCATCAACGGCACTATCAGGATCTTCAAAAGCTGTGGAATAAACACAATCAAAGCATCTCAGCTTTATTTAGTTTTTAGAATTTTTTTCTGCTTCTAACTTAGGTAACCACAAGCCTAAACCTTGAGAACAAGAGCAACCTGAGCTGCATGTGAGCCAAGTGACCTCAAACCCATGTGCAAAACTGTTTCAGTTAATACTCTTAAGTTTCTTTCATTAGTGTTGATTCTTAGAGGAGTTCCAAACTGTATTTTCCCAATGCAGAATTCTCTGGAATTCTGATTCTCCACCTATCACGATTCTAGTGAAAATCTGTTTTTAAACGTCATAGATTCTATTCCTCTATTGTTATCAAAATGGGTAGAAGAGAAATTTTCATTTAGAGTTGGCTTGCTGTTGTTAGACTTTAAAAATACATGGCTGAACCCAATAAGCAGGTCCAACATCAGAAGGTGGTCAAATAATCAGGAGGCGCAAAGCCAAGGCTCTGAAGAACCAAAAGTTCTAGATACAACTAAGAACAGTAGCAGTCTTTTTTTTTTTTAAGTATTATGCCAATTTTTTTTTTTTTTTTTTTTTTAAGTAGGCTCTATACCCATTGTGGGGCTGGAACTCATGACCCCAAGATCAAGAGTCTCATGCTCCACTGACTGAGCCAGCCAGGCCCCCGAGAACAGTAGCAATCCTACTGTCTTGCTGCAGCAACAGGTTTTTCTAACAATTCCTATCAAGTACCTCTACCCTGGGGCTCAGAATTTCCATCCAAAGTCTGGGCTGAAGGGGAAGAGGAAAACATAAGCACTACCAATGGGATCTTGCTGACAATGCAGCCAAGTTTATCTAACAACAGTGACTATAATACCATAGAATTATTTCTGCTTTTCAGGCCAGCACCTGATTGGCTAGTTTTATTCTTGATGTTAACTAAAATGACCACAGTTACAAATCCTGCTCCAAACAAAAATAAAAATATTTAACACTGTACTTGGAAAGGGAGCTCAACCTAATAGTGCTTTGTGGTTTATTTTATAGAGAAGCCATTTCTGACACCAACCCCGTATGTGTATAATTAACAAGGTCCCAGATGTCCTGTCTTGCCAATTTCCTATTTGGCTCAGTGAGGAAAAGGAACATTCATTATCCCAAAATGGAGATACTTTTAGCAGATGATGAACTCCTTATATTAGTAATTTTTTAAAAAATCTTGGTAGTTATGTAGGCAGTGAGAACCTTCTGAAGACCATAAGATTAGGCTTTCACAATCACTCAAGCAGGAGATAAGAACCTGCATCCATTCAGTAGAAATGGAAAAGAACTGATGAAATGGAAAAAGAAAAACCCAAATGATAAAACGTGGGGACAAATGGAAGGTAAAAGGGAAATGACACCTTGGCTTGTACATCAAACTACCTAGTAGATAATAATTCCACTAAAAGAGACAAGGGGGCACAAACATGTGGGTTTTACAAGCAACAAAGAATATTTGAACACCAGATTCCAGACAACACTGTGGGTATAGCTGGGAGTATGGGTAGAAGATCTCATGAGATTTTCCCTTTTGAGTTTAAGTGTGAACATAAGACAAGGACAGTGATCAGAACCTCAGGAGAAAAACATCAGTATGAGAAAGAGGCTAGGGGCGCCTGGGTGGCTCAGTTGGTTAAGAGTCTGCCTTGGGCTCAGGTCATGATCCCAAATAAACCCCCCCACCCCGCATTGGGCTCCCTGCTCAGCAGGGAGTCTGCTTCTTCCTTTGTCCCTCCCCACTGCTCATGTTCTCTGTCTCTGAAATAAATAAAATCTTAAAAAAAAAAAAAGATATATTAAGAGTATTAAAGTATAAAAGGTAGGAAGGAAGGAATAGGCTAGCCTGCAAGTGGTCTGGAAGGGTACTAGTCAAACAATAGGGGATGCAAAGAATTCTGGTCAGAAAGAATTCTGATCACATATTAGGAAAAAAAAAAAAAAGACTTCAGAGGCACTGGTTTCAGATCTTGATGCACTTGTTGTTCTGAACACTAGAAAGAAAGGATCAAGGGACAAAAACCAGTATGTCTTTCAGAATTAATTCTTTCTAAACCCACAAAAGGAGTCAGTGTGAAGAAGTCAGATGGATTTTTCATGCATACAGATGAGAGGGCAGAGGCAACAAAGGAGACAAAGCCAAAAATCTACTTAAACTCCAGCAGAAGTATCAATACATACCCCAGAGAACCAAAAAGGGAACAGCAATAGACAATCCCACTGATTATGGGGCCAGGAGAGAGAAGCTCAGCCAGAGTTAGGAGCCCACGATCCAGAGCCAGAAACTATGTTGGACAGACCCTTAGTTTTTCACTGCATCTGACCTATTACTCCTAAATAACGCTCTGCTTTTTTATTTTGCTAGGCTAAGGGGAAGAATACTCCAAAACTTCCCTAAAAGCTGACATTTCTATACTAAAGAAATAAAGGGCAAATATTAAGAAACAGAGTTTTTATGGAAAGAAGAGGCTAGGAGTAGAATATGAAAAGTAGGAGGGGATAGGAAAAAAGAAATACAAAGAAGTGAGGTGAGACAAAGAAGAGAAACAGAAAAAAGGTAGATGAGGGCAAAGACCAGATTTTCTCCCCTGATACTATCCCTGATCTCCCTAGAAAGAAAACTTCCTGGCACCACCAAGGCTGATTAGAAACTAACAAGGGAAATTAAGAAAAAGGCTTGAACAAAAGAACTGTGCTTTCAGTGTGGCAGTGACAATCCCTTACTGGCTCTACTCTACTTCACAACACGACTGCAGCTAAAACAGGAAACTCCTGGCTTCACTGAGAAAAAGAACCTGAGTGCAGGTTTGGTTACTCAGCCTAAGGAGGACTTGTGAGCTAGGCTGAGGGCAAAAATTGAAAAGCCCTTGGAAAACTAAACGGCTGGGAAAATTAACTCATTCAAGTATTTACTAAGTGCCTTTAAGTACAAGCCTAAACAACACAGAAGATTCAGAGTATACAATCAGTCCAATAGAGAGAAAATACAGACACAAATACAAGGAAGTAACTATCATGAGAACAGTACAAACCAAATGCTATATGAGTTGAAGGTAAGGTCATTTCCCGTTAGGGTGAGCAGAGAAACCTTTATGGAGGAGACAACTTTGAAAGACTGGTAGGTTTTCAACAGGTGAAGGTCGGAGGGGAAATACCTTCTAGAATCTGGATAAAAACAATGGCATGAGTAAAAGCCCAACAGTGAAAAGGCTGTATGTATTTTTGAAAAACACTTTGTAGCTCATTTGGTAGATACATAAAAGGACATGGAAGGGAATGATAGAAAATAAACCTGGGGCAAGTAATCTAATCCGGGGCAAAAATGGGCCCCAGGTACAGAGAAGGCACTCAAACAATACTGAATGAAATACTGAACAATGAGGCTTTCTGGCATGTGGTAGTCCTGGATTGAATCCCTGTCTTTAAATCTAGAATACAGGTAGAACTTTATCACCCTGAGAAAAAAGGAAAGAGAATTCAAACCATTTTTTTTCATGGCTTACTTTTTTCTTGGAAAACCTTAAGTTATCTCAGCTCTCTTAGGCTGTCTTTGAGCAGTTCCCTAGTGGAAACACTAAGGATTCAAATCACAGAAAGTACATATTCATAAGAAATTCCAGTGACAGAACAAAATTTGGCCCCTCTTAGCACCTGCTGGATACCTAAGCACTAGGACTCAAACAATCCCCCTGTAAGATGGGTAACAGAGCCAATAACATCAGCCTAAGGCTGTGTATCTTACTGGAAAGAACTGACTGCCCACTCTCAAAGCTCTAGAATGCAGATGGCCTCCAGCCTACCTGGGCTGCTTCAAGGAAAGTAAAACCATGTCCTCAGTGCCTTGTTTACAAAAATAAACTTCCAGAAGGAACCTTCTTCTAGTCACTGTACTCCTTAGCCAAGAGACCAAGGGAGAGGGTTTCCTACACTAGGAGCTGATGATATTACCTATCTCTGGGAAGGAAAAATCTAGAGATACTGCCAAGATTATAACTGGGACTTTGGTTTGAAATCTCTCTCTCTCTCTCTCTCTCTCTCTCTCACACACACACACACACACATACAGTCTTCAAAAAAAAAAAAAACCAGCATGAAAGGATATAACATTCTACTGCAAGTAATGGTCTTTGACATTTAAGTAGGGGAGGAGAAGGGAGTGGAATTATATACACTTGTACACATGAATATCTAGCTTCATAGTTCAGACAGAGTGTGTTAAAGGGTAAAATCAAGAGAATTATAAGGAATTCAATTTCTTACGTACTCTGCTGCTCTCCCCAGCCCAAATAGGTCCAGTGACCTAAGAAAACCGCAAATGGTAGCAAAAAAGAAGAATGACACAGACAATTTTAGGAATAATTCAAAGACCATTTCCCCAACCCACCAATGATTACAAACTTTACCTTGCTTGAACCTGCCCTACTTGTATTCCATTAATTTTACATAACATGTAGAGAGCCTTCTGCTTCTATCAAGCATGAGACAAATCTACAAAATACCCTTGCTTTAATTCACCATATAGAGAATAACAAAAAACTACTTCTACACTCTTTTTTAAAAAAGTTTATTTACTTAAGTAATCTCTACATCAAATGTGGGGCTCAAAGTCATGACCCTGAGATCAAGAGTCAGACACTCCTCTGACTGAGCCAGCCAGGTGCCCCTGCTTTTATACTTTTAAAACTCCTTCTGGCCTAGGTCTCAGAACATCATCATCTAGGGGCCAATATACCCTTCCTCATTCAAAATGACAAAAATTCGACCTGTCTCTAAGAAATCCTTCCTGTTTGTTCTCCAAACCTGAGCCTACCATAGTATTTCCATGAGAATCTCAGACCTGATGCAGTGGAAAAGAGAGTGATTCCATTGTCTGGGAGCAATGATGTCTAATTTTGATGCTCTCTACTGAAAATTAAAAGGCCAAAGAATGGCATTAATATCTAATCTTCCTGCAGAGAAAGGGGAACCCTCCCACACTGTTGGTGGGAATGCAAGCTGGTGCAGCCAC